TTCTAGAACAGAACTTTGTAAGAAGAAGAACTTTGCTTTTAAAGTCATTCGATATGGATTTCAATTTGCACCAAGAATTTGGATCTTTCTAAGCTAATTGTAAAAAGTGATCGCTGAAAAGATGCGGTAAAGTTAGATGAATTCGTTTAGCAGAAGGCCGAGGTAGAGAATTATGCCGTAAAGTTCCAAGCACGGGTGTAAAGCCTAACCGCATCGCTTTATTAACAGGGAGGAAGAAAATAAAAGCCGAGGAGACAAATGGCCTTTCGTACCATTAAATCATCCCGAAAAACTTAGTAATTTAATAAGCAATTTCATGTAAATTTTGAGGTCGTTACGGTAATGCCAGCTTGCTGCTGGCCAATATTTTCGGATATCTTAAGATTCGTGCAATGTTGATAATTATCGCGATACATAAGATTTTATTAAATTACATTTTCTCCGTCTTCTTTAAATTCTAGTTGTATAAAATTATCAAAAAAAAAAGATACGTTCAGATATTTGTATAAAAGAATAAGTTTTTTAACTTTTTTCTCAGTTTGAGAGAATTATAATAAAACTGATATCAGAGAGAGACAGAGAGAGAGAGAGAGAGAGAAGTGTACACACGTATACATTATATTTTTTCGTAATATTATACGGTTTTACGTACTATTTTTCTTGACCAATGACATTTTCCGAAATGATGACGAGAATGAAGAAGCTTAAGGATCTCTCGATAAAGCTACGTTGATTCCATGTTTTATCCCGTGAAATCGTCAATCGATCATCCATCACTCTTCCCTAAGACGACGTGTCCTTAGTATACACGCGTGCACTGGATATATTATATGTATTTCTACATATAAATAAGAAGCTCGTATCTTAAAATTATTTTTAATATTTATGAAATATTCAAAATGCACACTGAAAAGATGTGTATTAGCGCAATGGTTGTGCGCGGCACATTTGACGGTAAACATGCGGCGAAAATAGCGGCTCAAGGTGTTAACGCGCATTTTCACGGGATTTATCTCAAAATCGGCAACGTCTCTTCGAAGAACGAGAGAGAAAAAGAGAGAAAGAGAGATAAAGAAGGCCTGTAGATTTATTCGTCTCACGCGACGCGGGCTGCGAGCCGCGATGTCGTCGCGGTGCTTTCAAAAGCTCAGAAAGCGTGATACGCCCGAGACTACGGTATTATATGCACGTCGTGTTACGTATACCCGCTCGCGAAAAAGAGAAAGAAAGAGAGACGTACCTGTGCCGCGCGATATATATACATATATGCATATATGTATATACGGGGAGGACAACGCGGCTCTTTGCGCAACCCCCGAAAGCAATATATCGATGTTTAGCAACCAATAAACGGATCACTCAAAGAGGGCTTTTACCGTAAAGCGCCGTTCGGGTGCTTCGTCGACGTTCCCGTTCCTTCCTGCATCGCGCAAACATACGGACACACACGCGCGCTCGTACACAGGCGCACGTATTGCGTGTGTGTATTGATGCGTGTGTATGCCCCCGTCATGCACGTATACGTTTAACGGTGCTAGCCGAAGCACGAGCGCTTTTATGGTTCAAAGTAAACGCATTTATAGAGCCGTTCGTCGGCAGCGACGCGCACCCGCCGCGTCGGCGTAATCTCGCGGCCGACCATTTAACGTCGTTTTTATGATAATCATTATCAATAGCTTAAGACTTGTTCTCCTTTTATACGTCTTTTTCCTTGTTTTCCTTTCTCGGTTTTTTTTACCGTTTACTTACAGTCGACGTTTATCGCTCACCTGTATCGCTAAGAATGCCGGGTTGAGAGATCTTTGGCGTTAATTAGACACGTCGTGTCATAACGGTGTAAAAAATACATCTAGTGCGACAGTTATGCACTTGACCATTTAATATCACAAAAAGAGTAAATCCCGACAAATTGTGTAACGCGTATTCCTCTCTCTCTCTCTCTCTCTCTTTCTCTTTCCGTCTCTTGACGATTTGTGTCGCACTTCGTTAGATTTATTCAATTGAAAAGGAATTAACGTAAAATTTTATGATTTTCTTTATTTTTTTTTGCGTTTTTTCATGTAAATACCAATAAAAGATAAATTGAAGAAACCGAGGAAAATATTGAGGAGAAGAGAACCCTCAAAGATGCTCTTATATTTGTCGTCGACATCGCGATGTCACTCGCAGCACCTTCATAATTCTTTTCACAAGTGGAGAAACAGTTGCCACGCCTGGCGAAAAGTGCCTCAAGGTGGAAACTGATTTTGAACTCTATAGTGTATTTTTGACATCTATATAGTGTACTTTTTATATTTTCGCGTTCTCTTTTCTATAGCGTTTTACGGAAAAAAGTAATCTATTTACTACAAGACAGTTAGAGTTGCATATATAATTCTTATAAATTTTCACGGGGACAAGAATATTATTATGAATATTATTGTCGAATTACAAATAATTCTACGCGAAAGAAGTTTACAAAAAACTCGCGAATTCTATTCGTATTGCATTATCGTCGAAATGGTGGCTACACAGGTCATGATCTCATCTCTCTCTTTCTCCCTCTCATAATACCTCACGACCAGCATCGATTCTACAAGCTTCCCTCGGAAATCCCAGAAAGCGAAGAAAAAGCTGGACCATTGTGACGCGGATCGGAGATGCTTCCTGGAGAGACGTTCGCAAGAAAGAAGGACGAACCGGATGGAAAGCGGTGAACGCAAGATCACCAAGAGGTTGAAAGAGGTCGAAAGGAAGGGGGCAAGGAGTAGAATATACGAAATAGCTGGACATCCACCGACTGGAGGTGAACCCCCCCGATGACCGGTGGGCAGCGGCCTTGATATATGTGCGTGTGTACGGGGGTGGAAAAGTCGACGAGTCCTCGTGTACATCGAGGACGCCTTGCGCGCGCGTACGTGTCGTGCACAGGACACGCCGGATTTCGGGGGGAGCAGAGATCCTTGAAAAGCCGAGACCAGAACGCCATTGGCCGCCGGCGTAGCCCCGCGTCCCCCTGCTCGGCCAATCCCGCCGCGAGCTGATAACGGCGGCGGTTCTTCTCTCCGCCTTCCGCCTTCCTCAAGACGCTAGGATTTCGTGCACTATATCAAAGAGGTGTACGTACGTATGTACGTACAATGTATATATGTATGTACCTATCGGCAGACTCTCGTATCGCTTCTTCTCCGCGAAGGAAGATCGACCGTTTTCCTTTTTCCCGGTTCGAAGAAAATTCCCTGGCTTGTGCGTCCCCCGTCCACCCCCGTTCTTCTTTCCCGGTGGATGCTGAAGATCGTTCGCTCGTCCGTTTCTCTTCGTTTTTTGATATCGGCGCAACCGATAGCTTGGCGAAATTGCTCGCACCGCAAACGGCAACTCAAGGATTCGGTGGAACGAGTTTATTCAAGAGTCGAGCAGATCTAAGAGAAAATATATTCCGCGGGATATTGCGGCTTTTTTTTTTTTGTTTTTACCGATTGGCCACTCTAGTCACCGACATTGGGAGAACGTGCTTGGGTCGGCATAGTTTTGAAAAAATTCCGAAAGAGAGAGAGAAACCGTAAAAAACACACATTTCGAAATTACGAAACATTTGACACAAAAAACACAACAGTACGTTGTTTTATATTATTTCTTTTATCTCACACATAAAACATCAAAGAATCGTTTTCAAATTGTCGTTGTTTTTCGAGCAACAATTAAAGGTAGCTTGATAAAAGCGAACAACGATAGGAAGATGTTTTTTTCGTTGCAACGATTTTTATCTCGCCAAAGCGGACGGGCTGCGTGACGCAAGTTGACGCAGGTGCCGATCATAATATGTCTCAATTTTTTTGCTCATGCGCAAATAATAGGGAGAAGCGCTACACCGAAAGAGTTATTTCATGATGCACGGTTATTTTCTTCATAAAGCGTAGAGGAAATAATAATAACGATATTTTATCTAATCGTCTTTAAAATCTACCGGCATTTTAAACTGTTTCAGTTACTCCTTTGCTCGCGTGGCTGTAATCACGATCTCGATGTCTCTTCTCGCAAGAAGAGTTCTTTATCTAGAAAGAAATTATCTACATCTAAAACAGCAAAGAATTCATTGACTAAAAAAAATTACATTATCTGTACGAAAGAGAAATTACTATGGGGAGGATATAACAGGGGATTTGATTTTCACAAAGAAATAATTTATATTAGATGCAAAAGATACTCCCTTTATTATTTTTCAAATTTATCAGCGAATCAGTGCTGATTTGCATTTTACAATTCTTTAATCGAGGTATAGAAAAATGACGCAGCTGCATTGTCGCGGTGATATCTTCGCTCGCGCATTCTGTTCCCGGGAACGGACGATAGGACGGGCTCTCTCCTTCGTTCCCGAATCGTGTAAGGCACATCGTAAGTGGCTTAATGGGGCTGCGTTCGGCTGACAAGATAGAGGGTGACGATAAGAGTACCTCCTCCGGGGGCTTCCGAGGGTAAAAGGAGGAGGAGGAAAGAGAAAGGAGAGGGAGGGTGCGTGACCGTACGGAACGCCGCGTGACGCGTGTAATAACCGTAGCCGCGGCCTCTCCGCGGCACGCACCCTGCACACGAGGTCTAAATGTATACTTACTCGTGTATATATATACTTACGTGCACTGCCCCAGGTTGCACGGCAGGTGCCGCCGAGGATTCTAAAACGATCACGTCGGCAAAGGGGAAGCCGACCAGGCTCGTAGCTACCGTGAAGTAAATAATGAGAAGCGAGGTAAGACATTCATACACACACACACACACATATCTGCGACTCTCTTTATGCAAAGATAAATCAAAAACGTAAAATATAAAAGGTCTTTAAAAAACATGGAAAAAATTGTATCATCTTTTATATTTCGTGCAGAGGTAGAATTTTATTTACGCGTCACACACAGCGTGCAGAAATATTATATTATTCTTATGTGTATATATATATATATATTAATTACATAGAAGCTTAATTAACTAATTACATAGAATATATTTACATGTATTTGAAGTTTTGCTGTTGCATTTTTTTGTGTTAGTTTGCGAGTTTTGTTAAAAAAAAAGTTTGAAAATTCCGAGTATACGCCACTGAAAACTAGGAGAAGAAAGGGGGTGGTTCTTTGATGTCGATCACTGTAGGAGGGGGGGGGGCGTTAATATTATCTTTTTATCCAGTTCTTGATTAATGTTCCGAAGCTGACATGTTTTTGGCGGTGTTTTTCATCAGCGCGCGAAAGTACGTATTCCAATTACTTTGATCGGCGGATTAACGAGTTCCCCGCAGTTATCGCCTGCGGATCGCGAAGTTTTTGCGGGGAGATAAGAGCCCTCCCTCACAGTGAGTTGGAACATTTATATATTATTCGCGCGAGATACTTCGCTAAACTCGATAGTGAAGCTGAAGTTGCGCGAAGAACACAAATTCGTTTCTTCAAGTTGAGAATATCCTTTCGCGTTTTCTTCTTGATTATCGTCTTTTTGGCTGTTCTCCATCATCTGGCCGGATATCTTCTGAAACAGAAAGTTTAAGCAATATTACGTAATATCGTGAAATATTCTCTGTAAAAGTTTTAAAGAAGAGTCTCGTCACGTGTAACACGCTAACTCTTCACAATGTTAAAATAACGAACATAAATTTCTTTACAAATTGACATAAAAAATCGGTGGAAAAAACGCGATTGATGTTCATGATTATTTTAATGTACTTTCAATGTTTGTATAAAAACGTTCAATCGACATATTTATATCTACTATTTTTTTATATCTATATAAAAAGTTAATATATTAAGGAAGTTTGCTATATTTCTACCTTCGAGGAAAACTATCGTGATTTCGAAGCGGAAGCGGAACGCGAACATCACGGTAGGATGAAGATAATAACAACGATAACGTATTGTTGCTGCGTTCGGCCCCGCGTAAATCGGCATTGATATTTTACGGCAGCACGAGCAGATTACAGGCTCAATTAGCATGAGGACTACATAATTAATAACTTGATTAATGCGCCGAAGCGGAACGTCTGTCCATTCGTGCCCGTCAGGCTCGGCCCGCCGAGTCGTGGATATCTCGCGTTTGCGCCGGCAGTCGATTGCGTCGTAATCGATTGCCACGTCGTATAATATCGCCGCCGATCGCTTATGCTTACCGCTCATCGCGTCGCATCGTATCGCATCACGGCTCGCTTACGTTTGTGTGTTTAGGCCCGTCTCACCGCGGGGCAAAACTCATTAGCGCGCCATTTCATATTCCGGAAGGGAAGTTGAGCCGGCTGGCGATCGGCTCGCGCACCGACTAGCCATTAATTCCGGTCAATTGTCAGGTATCCCGTTGAAAATCTGGCAATATTGAATGCCACGGCTGTAGATGTCTATCGGCCGGCGGTATGTGCGCATCGTGCGTTTCAAATTCCCGAAACTGTGATCGTAGAAGATAGATCGCCCATATATATGTATATAAACGTACGATATTATCTACGTGAAATTACAGAAGAGAATATTATTTTAACTACTCAATTTTCGGTTTCCTTTAGTATTTGACAGTGAATAATCTACACAAACAAATACACGAAAGTTCAAATTATTTTCAAATTATTCTGAAGAAATTTTATCCCGTTTTTTTGGAGAAATTTAACGATTAATAATAAGTTCCGTCTAAATATTAATTGCATACAATATCTGTTTTGATTTCTTGGAGCTTCGGATAACAATTGCAATTTTCAGTTTTTGAGATTGGTGGATCCAACATTCACGTTCGTACGTCTTACGTTCTTTCTTTAAACATCGCTCTCTCTTAATGTACCCATGGCGAATTAGAGAGACGAGCTACTTCCGTATACAGGTAGTCGGCGATGTATATCGAACATTTATCAGCGGCGAAGACGGGGAGGCTGATCTTGAAAGACAAGCGCGATTGAGTTACGTTGATTTTATTCCGCATTATTCCACCCAGGGATCGCTCCTTGGCCGAATCAGTTTTATTTTCTGGATTGCGCCGTTGTGTATATATATATATATACACGCGCGCGTCGAACTTGCTCGTGCGCTCGCTGCTGCGCTGGCTGGCTGGCACGCCGGGATTAACGTCATTGCGGTTTTTAAGCAGGCAATTTCCTAATTCGGTGCCCGGGGAATCCCTGATTTATCGCGCTTTTGCCAGTTATTCCGTACTGCCGGTGATTTACGACGGGGTTTCCGTCCCCGCCCCGCCGCCGCTTCTTCGTCGCGCGCGCGGTCTCTTCTTCCTCTTTCCCGTCTGCTTCCTCCGCCGCGCGACAGATCGTCCACGTGTCCTCTTCTTCTCGAGTTCAGAGGGTGCATCTCTGACGAAGTCGTACCAAGTCGTGGTTCCTTCGTTTTTTTTCGGGATTGATGCAAGAGATATCCTCGATTTGAAATAAACGTAATCGAAGAGATTACATATAGGAAAAGATACATGAAGGAAAATGTTGATTTGTATTTGCTCCGTAACGTAAATATATAAATAAAAGTTTTACACCGAAGTACGCCGAGTAATTATACAATTTTATTTACGATCAAAGAGCGTTAATTACTGCAATATTAAGATATGTTTTTATCTTGATTCTGTTTGCTCGTTAATAAATGCATTTACATAGAAAAACTCCAGATTCTTTTTTTTCTTACGGTACGCACAGCGTTTGCCTCTTATCACGACAAACAGCGTGTTACCGTTACGTTGCCAGCTAATTGGATAAGTAATTGGAAGTAGTTACGGAGGAGGCGCGCCGACGTTGTCCGCACGCAGTCGTGCGAAATTTCTGATAAATCGTAGGAAGAGGAACGTTTCGGAAAGAATGCAATCTATCCTGTGATTAGACGATGTGTAACAACGGCGGCGATGAGATGCAATCCGCCGGGCTTCGCAAACTAATAATCACGTTAGAGTGGCGTCTATTCTTCACATTCTGTCTCTTTTCCTCTCGTTTTTTAATCAGAAGTTCAAAGATTGTCTTGAGGAACTCTCTCTTTGTAGACTATTTTATGGGTTTTTGCCCCTCTTCGTTGTCGGCGAATGTGACGAGCGAGTTCAACGTACGAAACGCCGCTTGTTGTTTACCGAACGCGTTGACTTTCCAGTGCGTGTCTACGTGCACGCGTTTACATGTATATGCGGAATCCCGAGGCGAATCGTACGGGAAGTCCGCTCCTTTCCGAGGGGAATTATAAACGGCGTATCCTGTGAAGTGCGCGCCGCTCGATAATTAGTCCTAATCAGCGTTTAATCGCCGTTCGCGGCGGCGAAGCGCCGCGCAATCAATTCGTTCTCATCAAAACCGTGCCGCAGTCGCCACGTTATTAAATGTATCGCGCGATATACGCGAACGCATGAAGCATTACACACGCGCCACTTTGTTTCCTATCTGTTTTTGCGGAGTTGTAAAAATAAAAAAAAAAAAAAAAAACAAAAACTAGAGCGACAATCGATGAGAGTTTTGATTTTCTCGGGTGATAATCGATGTTATTTTGCGCGAGCACTTTTGAGGGGGGGCGAAACGCGCAGTTCCGCGGTTAAATGGGGTAAGATAACACGGCGGCGCAATGTGCCCGATTCGATGAAGTTTCGAAGTCGCGATTTTTGTTTTTAGCGACGCGACCGTCCATTTCGGGCAAACATCGAACTTTTGACGCGGTGTAAAGTCACGTATTTCGCGCGCGTCGATATTATATATTTCCCCGGCGTTATTCCCCGGCAGTCAACGAAATATATTTTTTCACGACCCATGCGGTGAACTGACGGATGCCGCCACGTTCCTTTGTTATCGTTGAGAGAACGTCGAAACTGTTGTTTCTCTGCGCGCAAAAACAGCGAGAGATGCGAGAGATGGAGGCGATTCACGGTGGACCGATCATCGCGCGAAAACAAGAGCGGCTTGTTTTCGCGGCAGGCAAACTTGATCGGTTTGCGTGCCGCGGAATACCAAGCGCGAGTTTGCGTTAAAAAAGAAAATATGTCTGACACAAAAACAGCCGACTATTTCGTGCGTGTATATCGGAGAGACAGAGAAAGGGTTTTTTTCGAGGAATTCACACGCGAAAAATCTATTCGCGACTTTTTTTTATACGCAATGAAAGATGTAATCAACAATAACAAGGAAATTGTCATACTCAGTTTGAAAAATCGTTATATTCATATATTTCTTTATTTATTGTTTCCATTTTATTTCAAATTTTATTATTCCAACGTGTAGTAAAAGTTTCCGACGCGAGTTTTTAAAATAAATTATTTTGTTTATTTGCCAGTGGAATAATATAATAATATACTTTGAGATGTAATAATAATTTACTCGAAAAAACAATTTCTAAACTAAACAGAGAGATCATAGTAAAACCACTGTTATTTTTCGATGTTTCCTAACAAAATAGATAGTCGCATGTATTTACACAAATCAGACAAGTTCGCGCTCATTAGGATATACTCTCGGGAGGCCACCCTCTTTCTGTGGATTCTCCCACGTTGACGTTACTAAATGTATTTGTACGTTGCAAAGGAGGGTGGTCGAGGGTGGAGCAAAACGCAAGAGCCGGTAGTAGAACTCGGTAAAATGTTTGAGAGAAATAGAGGATGAGAAAGAGAGAGAAAAAGAGAGAGAGAGAGAGATAAAGCGCCCTCGAAACGATCGTTTCGAGGTTAACGAGGAGGGTTGTGATTCAGAGAGGCGGACGATCATCCAGAGGGAGGATGTAGCGAGTAACGTGCAATAGTCGGCGTTGGATAATGGCGGAGACAACCAAGTCGACTGTAACAGCAGCCCTTGGGACGTCGCTCAGAAATTCGGAAGATCGGTCTTCGCGAAAAAACACTCGTTAGCGACCTCCTGACCGTCCCGAATTGTTGCGGTCATGTTTATAAATCCCGTCAGAAAGTTCAGTCGTTGTCGCACATTATCTTTGACTCTTCTGGTTTTTTAACTAATTATATATCTGTTCTTGCGTCAATTAACCGCTCGTTTGCCGCTCGGTGATCTTATTTTATCGGATTCAGCCGGTCATGCGTGAAAAAAATTAGAGATGACTCAGAAATATTAGTCAGAAGCAATTATCTCAAATAAATATGTGTATTCGGAGTCTAAATAAAAAATAAAAAAAATATATATATATATATATAATAATGTAAATTGTACATAGTGAAGTTTGGATTATGGAAATCATATAACACCGCGGTGTTGAGTGTTCCAGATACTACACGCGGGACATTCGTAAACGCCGCGTATAACGTTGTAATGCAAATGAATATTGCATTTCTAGTATATTAATTCATACAAATTACTTGAGAATATCTGTTCAAAGAATCTCTTCACTTAACTCGAGCATAATGTATTCGTACACGTACGACCTTTTCAATTAATTGGTCTCGTAACTGATTTCTGCGCTCGCGGCACGCAGCTACGCAATCAACAATTTCTGTGGAATATCATCAACGAATAAAATACATCACAACGTTGGGTTGTCACAACGATATTTCTCTCGGCTTTTCTTTTTTCTCTCGTTTTCTCT